TAATTCTATAGCATGTCTTCCAAGCTTACTGATCTATCCAGGTTTTCTACTTCCCATTGAGTAAAACTAATCATTTCTATTTTCTTAGAAAAATACTCGTTCCATTAAGATTTACATATGTATTAGTACAGAATTATATGAGAATTGATTTCTCCAGTCTATGGCCATATCCTTACTCATTGCTAATTTTTAGCAGCTATCTTTTACTTTTCCTATTTAGACCTGTCATAGATTTATTCCATTTTTGTTATTTTTGCAAAGAATCTTAAGCTGATAAATTCAATTATTTTATAACTTTATGTGTTTATTTTTATATTTTCATTTTCCTGTTTTGTTTATTTTGATATAAAATTTCTAATTTTAGTTGACTATTTAATTTTCATTTTTTTCAATTTTAATAATAAAGGGCTTATATGCTAAAAAAGTTGCCTCTGTTTTAAGTAAAGCTTTGTTCATATTTATTAAATTTTATAGGGACTATTCTCATTGCTGTTAATATCTAAACAGTCTGTGGTAGTAATTTTTAATTTTTTTTTATTTGTCCATTAGTTGTTTCTATGTTTTTTTCTTTTTAAATTTTCAATCAGTTAAAATTTTGTTTGTTTAACCTCTCTGTTATTACTTTCAGATTTTCTTTTTTTGCTCTTGTAAAGTAGTATGTCCTATAGATGTAGACATTTTTTTGAATTTGTGTGTCTCTGTGTGTGTGAGAAAGACTCTTCATGGGCAGTTGAATAATAGTGCTTTTTAAAGATTTTCAATTAAAAAATAGTAAAACCTTTTCTTTACTGATGATACACAGATTCATTATGTAAAATAAAAGTTCATGGTTAAAGGCGGTATGGAGGGAGGCTGGAGGCTGGAGCCCCATCGAACTTCTTGCTTTCTCCAAAGAGCACCATAAAATCCTTGGGTAGGATTTTAAAACTGCTGCTAATTTATAAAATGTTTTATTTGCATTTGTTAGATTAACTTAAATTTTTATTATTAAAATATTATTCCCCAAGTCAATCCCTTAAATACTAAGAACGGTGTGTTCCGATCTCCACAATAAAGATGTTTCTCTGACCAATCCCTGCACTACGGAGGCTTTTGCTTGCCATGTTACTACTCCCTGAATTTTGATAATTAACATTTTGTATTTACTATCTTCATTATAGGTGGCAACTTTTAGCAACATAAATTCCTGATTTCGTTCCATTTTAAAGCTTTTCCTGCTAAATTCTCTTCTCTGAACTAATATTGCTACCATTAGCATTTGAGTTTGATATCCTCTAACCTTTTACTTTTACATTTTAAAAAATCTAGTAAAATTACATTTGTTTGTATAGATATAGGACACACACATATATGAGCATAGTATAGGTATGTATTTAAATGTATATGCATATTTGTATATCTCAAGTATATATTAAACTATATCTTTCTAGTATATATTCTCTATTTCTTAATCCTATATGCATTTACATTGTAAAATTTTTTTGAGTTTCTGGGTTTTTAACTCAACTTTTGCATTTTTTTTTTTCGGTATTTGTAAACATTTATTTTACTGGGATTAGCCTTTCTTTTATAATAAATCTTATCTAAGATATTATTTTTGAACTCACAGCCTTAAATACATTTTATTTTACTTTACAATTTTAAAAAATCACGATAGGTAGAAAATGGGAATAGTAGAAAGAACACATTTCAAAAGCAGGAGAAGATGGAGAAGTGCAGTCATCCATCTCTCTGGTTCTTCAATGAGTTTTCCAGTTTCTTTAGCTCCAAAAACTAGAACTCTGACTCTCAGAACCCCCAGAGATCATAATCTCATTATACTTGGGGCATAACTGAATGGTATCCCTGATTTCTCCGATCATTCAACCTTTTTGAGAAATTTTGTGTTTTAAATCTATGCCTAGTCACTTCAGGTTAAATTCAGATGGCTACTTGGGAACTTATTCAATTTTAAACCAACTTAAAAAAAGTTTTAAGCTGTTTAAAATTTTATGTATTCCTTCTGCTTACTCTCTAGACTCCAGTATTAGGCCTCTGACTTAAAAAACAGGAGATACACAAGATAAACAGTCAGCAGGGATTTTCAGCACCCCAATTTGTTTAAACGCTGCTGTCTTTGGTGAGCTTCCATCTTTGCTCTCATCAATTTGAAGATTACTCAGAAGGTAGTGTTCACTCAATTTTTTAAGCATTTCTTGTTTACATCCCCTTCACAATCCTAATGGTTTATTAGACCAGATGTTTTACATGATTAATGATAAACTTGAACTTCTCAGGTTCCTTCACAGTGGAGCAGCTGGGTGTTAGGCGAGGCTTTTCTCTGAGTGACCACAGTTCCTCTGTTAAGAAAATCCAAAGCTATTTGCAGGTTTTAGTGATCATTTCTTGGCCTTTGATTGACACAGACACATTTAGTTGATTAGATATCAAAAATTTAGAATGTAAGAAACAGTAAAACATACCTGTGCCACTCCAAGGTAAGGGTTAAGCAGGGATGAGAGGTAGTTGGAGGGGAGTTACAAGTATTTACATGTATTATTATGCTTACCACTTCCTTGCTTCCCTTTCCCGTTTCTCAAATACACTAAAGCAATTCTGAATATTATTTAATCTTTATTTGATAATTTAGAAGGATCTTCAGAGATCATAGGTCATAGCTGTCTACATATATTCAATTGTTAAAAATTTGGTGCTGGAAAAGAATAGTTTAAGAGTTAACTATCATGATGATGGAGTAGCAAGTAGATATAAAAATTCAGAGTTTTTTTAATATTTAAAATCACAGAATACTTAATAGTAATGAAATTATGAGTGAAACACAAAGTCAAGCACACATAGAAGTCAGCTGAAAACAACAGGAAAGAATCAGTTTTTGTATGCTTGCTCAATGTTTTGACAAAAAGCTAGGGTCTCGAGTGAGTGAGTTTTTATATCTATATATATTTTTTTCTTCTAAACTACATTTAAATGTAAAAAAAAAAGAAAGTAAAACAATAATAAGCTTTGCTGGTAGGGTCTATACCACTGACACACATTCGAGATGAGAAGGTAGTAAACGAAGTTTCTGCAACTGTAAGTGATGCTTAGAGGAAAATTAAATCACTGAGTGATGCCAGGACTGATTATTCTACTGCACTTTAAAAGCGAGGGATTGCAGTCTGTGAGTCCAAAGTGGTTTCATATGAATTGCCACAGTTGTGGTTTATGCTTGAAACTATAACCTGTCAAATTAGAAGCAGGCAAGGCCTATGCTCTTAACGGTTCCACTTTCTACTGTCTACAGTTATGTCTACAAGTTCAGCACTTTTTATTCAGTTAAACTCTGTTATTTGGATGAGTAGAATCTCAAAACTATTCTTCTTTATCTTGGTTGGAGAAGATTTTAGTTATGATATAAAGCTTAGAGAAACTACCAATCTAATTTTTATTATATAAATGATAATTTCATTGTAATTATTTTTATCAGCTATTGATAGTTTATTATCCTCATTATCACTATGTAACGTATAATATGACTACAGGGAAGAGGAATACAAACTGCATAAATTCCTAAGCTTTTTCTACCCTGCATTTCCAGATATTATATTGACTTTAACTTGTACCTTACTGACTCATCATTTTTCCAGGCTCACAGTAGCCTGCTATTATGAGCTTAGTGTTACAACGCGCTCCATTTCTTCTCTTCTCCTTGATTGTGGAATGCCCTTCTGGGCAATAGGCTTGGTTGACAGAGATTTTCCCATCAAAACTGAAAAGCTGCTTGTTCAATTTTACTAATGTTTTATGTACAGTCAGTCCTTCCTTAATGACTTTTTCTTCATGCCCATTTGTATAATATAAAAATGTCTTAAAAATAAAGCATAAACAATATCTGCTCTCTGTGTAATGCATCATAAGTGAAACCATGCCACTAAACAATCATATCCTGTTTGGCCATAATGACATCAGAAATATAAGTTTATCATCTGCATTGGACAACTTAGCATGTTTTTGGCCCAAGGCGAAACTGAACTAAAACCATTTGCAGTTGTCTCAAACCAAGATAACCACACATTTCTAAGGTAATTGATACCTAGGAAGAACACTGCCTTTTCAAATCACAGTTCATGATCTAAGCATACTAATTCTTTAAAGAAGCTGTTAAAGTTTATAAAGCATGTATGTCTATTGGACTTCCTCCAAACTTTAACATGAAATAATTATATTTTTAGCATGCAAGACTATGATAAAGTAGGTACTTAGCTCAATCTTTTGGCTTTCTGAAATTACCTCTTGCCTAATTCAAAGAGAAAGGACAATGAAAAAAAAATTTTATTTGAAAAAGTACAAGAAGAATGATAAGAATAATGCCTTGCATTTTGGAAGGCACCCAAATGAAATCAATCATTACTTTTATTTTTCCAAAGTATTTAAGGAAACAATTTTATGAATAGATAGCTAAGGTAAATATAAGGCATACAATTTTCATATTCATTGTTAAAACGTATCCAGGGAATCCAAACACACATCACTAACTTTGTGTTACAGTGATATAAAGCATGTGATTGCCCTGGATACTACTACTTTAGCTAGTGAGCCCAACCATAACCTGCAAACTACAGCCTAAAAAATAGTTCTTCACGCTGTATGCCAATACAAATGCAGTTAAGAATTATCTTTGCCTGCAAAAATAACTGGATGATTTGGAACAAAAAATAAGCAAATATTTAATTGTCAATTAGCTTTCAAAGAATAAAATAATATCAGTAAAAGTAAGATCCAGAGAGAAATCTACTGATACTCAAAGGAGGGACAGAAACAGAAAAGAAAAGATGTCTCTCAAAGTCAACTCTGAAGGCAGAGTTTGACACCTTCTCTAGTCTACTTCATAATATCACTTTCAGACATGAAACCACTGATATGGGCATTTCAGGTATTTAAAGAATATAATAACTAAACCAAATATCATTGGCACTGCAATAGTTATTCTATTACTGTAAAAATGGAAGAATGTACTATACCTCCATTCTTTCTTGTTTAACTTCATCAATTTCATCATCTTCAAACATTGCCAAGAGTTCTCCTGTTTGGTCAATAGAGTTGAGAAAGTCTTGAGCGATTTTTTGTCTTTTGTTCGCATTGTTACTACCACTCAATTTGTCTGCATGAAGATGAGGGAAGGAAAAAAATTGTTTAATAAGTTTACATTATGAATATGAAATTCAGAATTGGATTTTTCTCAAAATAATTTTTAAAAGGAGAATCTTTGCATCTAAAACAAAAGTGCAAATCTCACAGAATTAAATTATTTATTCATCTCATAAAATGAAGAGAATAAACCAAATTATCAATTAACACAATAAGTGTGAATGAACTGATTAAAATTCTTTACCAAAAAATAGCCACTATTACATAAAATTTAGTTCATACTTTCTCTTTAACCTTGAGTTAGACTTATAGACCTTTCCATTTTGATTTAGCCAAGATCAAATTCTCAAGCAGTCCAGCATGCATACTGATGGAGGTTGACTTCACTTATGTAGCGGGAAAGTCTGGTACCTTTGTTTTTTTATATCTATCTATCTATCTATCTATCTATCTATCTATCTATCTATCTATCTATCTATCAAAACAAAGACAGTAATAACATCAGAATTGAGACATGAATTAAAAGAATATTATGCATATTACTGTGGCAATATATTTGAAACCTAAATGGATGAGATCTTATTTTTCTCTTAAGAGAAAACTAGCATACTTCTTTAAAAGCAAAACATATATTTAATTAAAATTATTAAAATTATTGCAAAAGGTCAAGAAGGAATATAATATTATAATAGGTAATTAATACAGCTCAATGCATAAAAGTATCAGTGTGAATTACCGAATGAGGAAAAACTAGATTATTTTTTAATGTGATAAATCACATGCTCATATATCAAAAAAAGACAACCCAAATGTCTTCGGGTGAAAGCACTGATTTTTCACCATTAAGTATGATGTTAGCTGTGAGTTTTTCACAGATGACTGTTTTGGTCAGTTTGGGCTGCCATAGACTGGATGGCTAAAAACCCAAATATTTGTTAAATATACCATAGACTGGATGGCTAAAAACCCAAATATTTGTTTCTCAAATCTCTGGAGGCTGGACAGTCCAAGATCAGGTGCTGGTAGACCTATTGTCTGATGGGGGCATGCTTCCTGGTCGGAGAGCAGAGAGCGAAAGCAAGCTTTCTTGTTTCTCTTCTTCGAAGGGCACTAATTTCATTCATGAAGGCTCTTCCTCATGATGTAAGTACTTTCCAAAAGCTTTACCTCAAAATACCATCACATTGGGGATTAGGTTTCAACATACGAATTTTAGAGGGAACACAAACATTCAGTTCATACCTATGACCTTTGTCATGTCGAGAAAGTTCTCATCCTAGTTTACTGAGTGTTCCTCAAGAAAGACTTGGTTTTTTTTTTTTAAGGCTTTTTCAACATTTATTGAGAAGATCATGTGGTTTCTGCCCTTTATTAATATGATGTATTACACATATTAATATGATGTATTACACATATTAATAAAGATTGTTTTCTGAATTTAAAATAATCTTCCATTCTTGAGATAAATCCCACTTAGTCATCTGTACAATGTTTTTAGATGTTGCTGGATTTTTAACAACTACATTCAAAAAGATATTAGTCTGTAGTTTTTTTTTCCCCCTGTGATGTCTTTTTGTCTGGATTTCATAACAAGGTACTACTGGCCTTATAGAATAAAATAGGGGAGGATTATTATTAATTGTTCTTTAAACATTTGGTAGAATTCATCAATGAAATCATTCGGGCATGGGTTTTTCGCTGGGGTTTTTTCAAATAATGAATTCAATTTGTTTGCCACAGCAAACTACTTGCCATAGGTCTACTTAGATTTTCTATTTATTCTTCATGCAGTTTCAGTAGTTTTGACTTTATAGTTAATATCTTTAGAATTGGTTATATTAACTGCCTTATTTACCATTTGTTTCTTTTCATTTCTTTCTGTAGTCTGAGCAACAATCTTGTGCCACTCCTTAATTCAATGAAGCTTTGCTACTACCCCCTCACTTATGTTGTTAGTGTCAAATATATCACGTACCTATGTTATAGACCCAACATTATAATTATATTGTTTTATACAATTGTTTTAAAATCAGTTAAGAGATGAGAGGAAAATGAATACACAATTATAATGTCTCATGTTTACCTATATAATTAACTTTACAGGTGCTCTTTTCTGTGTGTGTGGGTGAGGTTCAAATCACTGTCTGGTGCAACTTGCTTTCAGCCTGAAGAACTTCCTTTAACAATTTTTATATGGGTCTGCTAAGCAAGAAATTTCCCCAGTTTTTGTTTATCTGAAAATATCTTAAATTTTGCCTTAATTTTTGAAAGATCATTTTGCCGGATATGTTTCTTGGTTGACATTTTTTCCTTTCAGCACTTTGAATATGTAATCCTACTGCTATCTGATCTATACTGTAAGTGAGAATCAGCTGTTAATAATATTGCTGGAGTTCTGTTGTATGTGACGAGGTACTTTTCCCTGGTGGCTTTTGTTATTTTCTCTTTACCTTTGTTTTTCAACATTTCTACTAGAATGTGTGTGTGTGTGGATCTCTATGGGTTTATCCTAGTTGAAACTTGTTGGGCTACTTGGATCTACAGATTAATAGTTTTCATCAAAGTTGGGAAGTTTTCAATCATTATTTCTTTAAATATTTTTTCTGCTCCTTTTTCTCTTTCTTTTCCTTCTGGTAGCCCCATTAGCCAAATGTTGGCTCACTTAATGGTGTTTCCTATTTTTCTCAAGTTCTTTCAATTTTCCTTTGTTCTTCAACTGCATAATATTTAAACATCTGTTTTCAAGTTCACTGATTTTTTTCTTCTGTCAGTTCAAAGTTACTATTGAGCCCTCCTACTGAATTTTTCATCTTGGTCATTGTACTTTTCAACTCCAGAGTTTTCATTTTTCTTTTTTTATAATTTCTATCTCTTAACTGACATTCTTTATTTTGTGAGACACTGTAATCATTTCTTTCCTTTGTTGTTTAAACACCGTTTTCTTCAGTTCTTTGAACATATATATAATAGGTACTTAAGTTTTTGTCTGCTAAGTCCAACATTTGGGCTGTTTGTGTTGTCTGCTCCCTGCCCCCCATTTATAGATCATACATACATGTTTCTGTGCATATCTAGTATTTTGTTATTGTTGCTGTTGAAATGGACATTTTAGGTAATATATTATAGGAATTCTAGATAATAATTCCCTCCCCTTCCTGGGGCTTATCGTTGTTTGCTTGTTTATTTGTTTAGTGACTTGCTGGACTAGTGCAATAAAATCTCTTTCCTTTGCAGTGTGCAGCCTCAGATGTTACTCCTCAGAGAGTAAGCCTCAAACATACTAATAGTCTTCTTAAGTTACCAGGGATGACTGTAATTTTAGTCAGGTTCTCTCTGGCTGTCGCTTTTCCTGATCTCTCTATTAAGTTTCTGGTTGGTTTGCCTCTACTGATATCACACATAGCTGCTGGCTTCCAGTAATTGCTGGTTGACTGCTCTACTGTTTTTGATAATATCCTTGGGCATAAACTGCTCCATAGACTGATCTAAATAATGTTGGGCCCCTTTGCAGTCAAGGTGTTGCCAGATTTTAAGTTTTTCTCTGACCCCAGTAAGACTTCTTATCTGTCTTTCCCTTATTTCCTCTGTTAAACTTTCTGCTGATAACACTGTTTTTGCTTCTTCTTACTAGTATCACGAAGTTACCAGCTTTCTCTTAATTGCTCACCAATAGGATCTCCATTTTTAAAAATAATTTTATTTTTAATTACAGTTGACATATAATATTATATTAATTTCAGGTGAATAACATGGTCATTAGATATTTACATATCTTACAAAGAGATCACCCTAATAAATATAGTACCCATCTGACACAATAAATAGTTATTACAATATTATTGACTATAGTCTTTATGTTATACTTTACTTTCCCATGACTGTTTTGTAACTACCAACTGTAATTAATCCCTGTCCCTTTTTCACCCACTGCTAATCCCCCTTGCATCTGGCAACCATCAAAATGTTCTCTGTATCTATGAGTTTGTTCCTGTTTTATTTTGTTCTTTAGATACCACATGTAAATGAGATCATACAGCATTTGTCTTTCTCTGTCTGACTTACTCTACTCAGCACAATACCCTCTAGGTCCATCCATGTTGTTGCAGATGGCAAGATTTCATTCCTTTTAATGGCTGTATGTATGTACCACCTCTTCTTTATCCATTCATCCATTGATGGACACCCAGACTGCCACCATATCTTGGCTATTGTAAATAATGCTGCAATGAACATATGGATTTACATGTCCCTTTGAAGTAGTGTTTCAGGTTTATTTGGATAAATACCCAGAAACTGGACTATGGGGTCCTTTGTTGTCTCTTGTTACAGCCTTTGTTTTAAAGTTTATTTTGTCTGGTATAAGTATCATAAACAGTTGATTAACACATATTTTGAATATTATATGTATTATATACTGTATTCTTACAGTAAATCTAGAGAAAGACAATGCTATTAAGAAAATCATAAGAGAAAAATATATTTACAATATTTATTGAAAAGAATTGTGTATAAGTGGACCCACATAGTTCAAACTTGTGTTGTTCAGTCAACTGTATTATTTTTTTCAATAAGCATTTTTTAGTAATTATCTATTTTCAGCTTATTACTGTTAGATTCTGCAACATTAATATTTTTACTAAATAATCTAAAATGGGAAATTGAGTTGGAAAATAATATAAGGAAAATTTTCTACTCTGTGTTAGGTTTTTCGTTAGATTTTAAACAGCATAGAAATAGCACACCAAAATGAGGTTCCTTTACACCATAAAACATGTCAGATACTTTCTATAATAAATGAACAATAACCGATATGTATCAATTTCAAAGATATAATATTCTAGCTCCCTAGATACACAACAGAAAAATTCTGCTTGCTAAAATCAATTATGTTTTGAATCAACACAATTTTCTTAGTTTTGTGATATTCTAAATGTAAAGCAGATCATATTATTAAAAGAAAGATCTGAAATACCAGGTTACCATTAAGTCATATAAGTATAAAAAATCACAAAATGCAGCTGGCAATTAAATAAATATTTGGTTAATTTCTAAACTATATTATTTAACAGATGTATATGTATTCTAATTTTATGGAAATATCTACATTTACAGTGCATAAATGTGTGGTCCACGTGATACATGTACAACTGTTTTGAGTTTAGTATTTTGTTTAGATTACCTTCCAGAAGATCATCCTCATCTATTCCTTTGACAATCTTTGATTTGTAGTCTCGGAAAAACATGTATTTTAGCAGTCTTTTCAGCTTTTTCTATTAAAAATATGAAATAAGTAAATATGAAACCATATACATATATTCACTTTACTGATTAAAAACTATTATAACTAAGTTTCATAAACTTGTACCCCAGGATCATTAGGGAAAATATAGCAATTCTCACCATAATTCTATGTAATAAAAAATACACTCATCAAATTAAACATAAAAGCTGAAGCACAGTATGTTTAAAAGCATTTTTTATTTGTAAGTATCCCAATGCTCCAGAGTCACAATAATTAACTTTATTCTTTTGGTTTTATAAAAAGTTTTAAATTCTTTCTGAAGATGGTAATAAATGTCACACTCTTCATACTAAGCTGACTATACTAACTTTGTAGAATATTTTGTGCACTTTCAAGACCAAATTTTATTTTTAAAATTATTTATGAACAATCTACACAAGGAGTTTTAACTTTAAAAAGCCATGAACTCTCCTTTTTACTGCTTTTTATTCTCTGAGACTCTTTTATTTAGAAGAGTTGGTTTATGGTTCTATTTCTGGAAAACATTCGGTAATCCGAGAAACATATTTTCATGAAACTCAAAGCTGATTAATGATAGTTGGGCCATAATGATGGCTTTCGTTAGGTTTACTAGAAGACCATAATACTGCTCAACTTTAAAAGTGAGTGATAATACTTTGTAATTAGTTGTCTGCTTACACTTAGAATGTATTATTACTGGTTCCTAACCTTCAGGTTTAAGATTCCTAATAATAGCTGAAAACTATTGCATTTTACAAAGCTCCTTTACATTTGTTTATTTAGTATTTTCAACAGCCTTGAGATATAGACAACAGTAATCATCTTCTTTTTATACATGGGGAAACAGAGGTTAAAAATAGTCTTATGACTACAGCTTAGCAGTGTCAGAAGTAGAACATAAGCTGTGAACCTCAGTTTATTTACAAAGTAAGTAAAGTATCTACCTTACAGGACTATTGTGAAGAATAAATAAACTGCCTAGTGTAATATATAAAATATAGTAGGCAGTCAATAAATACTGCTTTAATATAAACAAATTATTAAAAGAAAAACATAGGTTTCTTTGCTACTCTTTTCTCTTTGCTGATTCTGTTCAGTTCTTTAGGTTTTATTTTGTCTATATTACACCTATGCAAACTACTTTAAATTCTTTTTTGAACATGTCAGCTTATAAATAAAATTATTATTTTGAGGAGAAAGATGAGAACAATGGCAACTATCATATTATAGCCATGTTCTTGGATGCTAAAAAGATCCCAGTTAGGAGTTCTTCTGGACAGTAGAAAGGCATTGTCAATTAGCATATGTTCCTGGTGTTTCAATATGAATTAAAATTTTAAATTCTCCCGAAGACAGGAAAAAGTGGACTATTTTTTGTGCTAGCCTCTTTATCTCTACCAGTGAAAAAGAAAAATTGACTGGACATATTCTGTAAAGTACTAATGTAACTCTATTGTTCTCCCGCTGCCTTCATAAAGAATCTTAGCTCAAGAGCCTCATTTCTGTCAACAGCACCTCAGACCACTGGTATATCATGCCTATTTGCCCTTAGTCCTCCAAGTACAATTAAGTCACCAAATCCTGCATAGTCTTACTCATTATTTCTCTGTATTATTCCTTCCTATCCACTTCCAGAGCCATTAGCAATCATATTTTTGCCTTGATTACTTGCATCCTGGTTCGTTCCTTTGCACTTGGTCCATTCTACATGTAATTGCATGAGTCTTACCTTAAGCTAAAACTTCTACTTCAACAGATCCTCCAGTCTCTCTATCTAATCAAACCACTTGAAAATTCTGTGTCTTAAAATGCTTCTTCAACTAAACCATATTTTTTTCTAAACCAGATTATAACCTCTTGAAAGTAAAGACATTTCTTTTTCTCTTCCTTTATATTCCTCATGCTATCCAAGAGTAAATGAACTAAAAATAAATAAAGTTTAACAGTAGACTGGTCAGGTAAAGTTTGTAGATCTCTGACTGTCATTGCATAAGGAAATGAAAATACTTGATTCAAGTTGAATTAACCTTCAGTCAATCAGAATGAAAGGTTTTACAGATATAAAGTAAGTGGATATTAGAAAGGGTGTCAATGAAGTCATCCAAAAGATCAGATAAGATGCCTTTTGATTAAAAAAAAAAAAAAAAAAAAGAGCCATAAGCAAACAAAATGGTGGAAGAGAAATAGGTAAGTGTAATTAAATGGCCAGGAAAAATCAATGGAGAAGTGAAAAATGGAACATTAGGAACTAAGCACTACTTACTCGCTTGTGACAGCATCTACCAAAGCACACTGCAGTTATTCAGTCAGTATGTTTACATGTAACTTTTAGATAAAACTTTTATTAAAAATGTAAAATTTTATAAAATATTTTCAACTAGCTACTCATGGTAGATAGTTACGACAAAATTAGATATGTAAATATCAGCTTTGGTATTTTAGTGCCAGAGTTTAAAGAATAAGAAAGGTAGATCTTTAGATATATATTTTTCCTAGACATTAATATATTTATGCTATTGAAATATTCATCTTGATTTGCTATTTCCTATAACCTAGTGTCACAGAATAGACTTGGTATTTCAAATTAAAAACATTACTCTATGAAAGCTTGTAATCCTGTATAAAATTAGAAGAAAAATAAATATGCCACTCAATTATATTTCACTTATTAGAACAGTCAATATTTAATGAATATTATGTAGCAATGAAAGGATAAGTGAGAATTAGCTGTCAGCATAGTTTTACGTAAGTGCCCTTGCCCATATAAAAAAAAAAAATCAATTATCTTGTAAATAAACCATTTTGTTGTGCAAACTATGAAGACTAAAACATCAGTTCAATAGTTAAGATTCCAATTTGAACACCAAATAACTAGGATAGTTTCTTTCTATAAGTGTAATTAAGCACCAACATGGCATTTTAATACAATGAAATTGTTTTATATTACCTTATCTTTGCGCATCAAAAACAGAAGATCTTCAGCAGATATTACCCTTGCTCCCCGAAGCTGAGAAACTTCAGCAGCTTGCTGTAACTAACAACAAAGGAAACTTAGGAATTTTTCTCAATAGTCTAAATTAAATATACTATAGTCATGCTGTCTGAAGAGAGATAAATATATGAAGAGTTAAAAACTTTTGGGAATAACCCAGAAATCACATTACTGCTTTTAAAAATAAAATGTCTTATGTTTTAAGGCATTAAAAAAATGCAATTATATTAACTTATAAGCCCACCTGTGATGCAATAAACAGAAATCCTTGATTTCCTTCATGCGAAAGAAAAATCATGTGCAGCTTCCAGAAATGCATTAATGCACCTGAAAATAATTTTATGAAATTTTACCCTCATATCCATGTGAGCAATGGTTTCACTCAGTATCACTAGTTGAATAAGTATATTATTAATCTGAGCTCCCATGCTGGTATGATTTGAAATAGGTCCATTCAGAACTTTAAAAGATCAACAAAAACAGTAGCTGTTTCTAATATCCAAAGGAAAAAAATAGTTTTAGTTTTGGCAAGTCTTCAGTGGGCAAAGGATTCAGTCCATAAATCATAATACTGGACTGCATTAATTTCTTTCCACACTAATCACATGCACACAAAAAGTTAACTGTATCTGGAATGCACAACACAAAACATACTGCGTGAAAAGTTAGATTCCCCCTGAAATATTCATCTGGGCTCTTATATCTACAAAGCAGAGAGTTTTCTGGAATTCAGAAGTCCCAGAAACACAATCTTACTTGAAAATGACCTGGAAAATAAAAGAATGTGAAAAATGATAGTTCTATTTTTTGGTACAGGCAAAATCAGTTTCTTATTTTGATTAGCTGGAAGGAACATAAAATACATCCAGATGAAAAAAATAAAGATGCTGGAGAAAATACTACAAAAATATGCCTGTAACTTCTTCCAAACTTGATCAAGCTATGATGACTGCACCAAACCAACTCTATCCAATATTATAAAAATATTTACATATAAAAGCTGTTCCTGAATGCACCTTTCTTTGAAAGGAATAAATCTAACACATATTACTGAGAACTAATCTTTTTAAAGTGACACACTGTTATCTTAACAATCATGAGAAATCAAATAGTGCATTTGTACTAAAGAAATTTTGCTTGAATGTTTAGGCGATTTTGCTAAGCAAGCTTCAAACCTTGTCTAAATACACAGACTACAAAATAGACTATAAACTCCCTATGTGTCAGCCTTACCACTGAATTTCCTGGATACTGGTGGTTGGTATATAAACATAATTCTACCTAAATATAGAAATTTAAATTTAACTGTGAACCATTTAAAAAGAAATCTTGAGGGAAAGATTTT